TTTTCATAAAGTTCAAGCAGAGCACCTTCTATGAGGTGAAGAGTGCTTGTTTCACGTGTAGCTTGAGCCTGGTCGTTTAGATGCTTCTCTCCAGATGGTGGACCTAGCAACATCTTAAGCACCTCAAATTATTCCATGTACTTTGAGTGTTTTTCTGTTGAATGTTACCATTTCTGAACCATTTGTTTTTGACTCAAGCTGCCTTTTCCCTCTGCCTCGGGAGGAACATGCGTGATGAGGCTGTTGTTTGGGGTGGGATCTCAGGGGACATGGAGAAGAACCAAGTAGCTTTCCCATTGGCTCTGCTCTTCCCAATCCTTTTGGGAACAGATACAAGTCCGCATCTCTAGCCTACTTAGCTTCTGCAGATGTGTTTGAAAGAAAGTCTCTCTTTTGCTGTCAGTCCCTAGCAGGAGGTTTTGAATAATGCATGTGGAAGTTGCTGATATTGATAAACATGGCGAATTTAAATTATGAGACTGAGATTCATGCTAAACTTCAAATTCTTATTTTTATGATGCTGAGTGTACATACTTTAATTTTTTTATGGTTCTGACTATACACATACATTTAGTTCTTTACTGAAGAGGGGAAAGCACCTCTGGGGACTGTGCTGGCTAATTTTATGTTAACTTGACACAAGCTAGAGTCATTTGGGAAGAAAGAATCTTAATTGAGAAAATGCCTCTAGAGGATTGGCCTGTAGGCAAGTTTGTGGTAGATTTTCTTGATTGATGTGGGAGGGCTCAGCCCACTGTGAATGTTGCTACCTCTGGGTAGGTGGCCTTGGATGGTATAAGAAAGCAGGCTGAGGAGCCATAAGGAGCAAGCCAGTCAGCAGTGTTTCTCCATGGCCTCTGCTTCAGTTCCTGCTTTTAGGTTCCTGCCTTGAGTTACTGCCCCAACTTCTTTTGATGATGGACTGTGACCTGAGAATCATAAACTAGAATAAACCCTTTTCACCCCAAGTTACTTTTGGTCGTGGTGTTTTATCACCTCATTAGAAAACTAGCCAAGATAGGAGTTAATAGTGTGGCTCTATTGATAACATTTGGGTGTGTGTCTGTCTCACTTCATCTGGCTGAGCATTCTGCTGTGTGGGTATATGAACAATATGTTTTGGAGTGGGGAGTGCTCCTTTGGTGCTCTAATTGAATGCAGAAATTACTGTTTAGGGAACAGTTGCTCCCCTCATGAACTATAGAGTGAGCTGCATTTGGGGATAGCAGCATTGTGTCTCTTCAGCTGAAAATTTGGGATTTGATATGAAATTATTCCAAAGGTGTTTGCCTACAAAACCACTTGGCATTAAGGAATGGTTTCCCCCATTGCCTTCCCAGCCTACTGAGGCAGAGTGGGTTCTTAGTGTGGGAGGGAGGCTCAGAGGAGGGCAGACAAATGTAAAATCTCTGGATACCTTTTTTGAAAATTGAATCCCAGGTATGATGACTGTCATTGCAACTGTTTTGCCTGTTGGCAGAAGTTTCTGTCCTGCCAGCTGCTCTCAAATAACCACACAGAGACTTATTAATGATAAGTGCTCAGCCAATAGCTTAGGCTTGTTACTAGCTAGCTCTACCAACTTACATTAACCCATATTTCTTATCTATGCTCTACCACATGGTGGTACCTTTTTTTTTTTTTTTTTTTTTTAGCACAGTATGTTCATCTCCTGCTTCCTCTGTGTCTGGCTGGCAATTCCACCCTTCTTCTTCCCATGTTCTCTCAGTCTGACTCTCCCACCTAGCTATTGGCCAGTTAGATGTTTATTAAACCAATGAGAGCAACACATATTCACAGTATACATAAGGGTTATTCTACAGCCTTTGCCTAATTTCTAATTTCTAAACTGGGATTATATTTCAACCAGTCAATATGATGGCAACAGAAACTTAGCAGTTGATTAATTTCCTGTTAATATTGATTTACCAGCATATACCTAAATTTACATGTTGGTATGAGGTTTAGAAAAATATACAATATAAGAAGTTAAAGAAGCAAGTGTGGACATGAGAAAAATTACCCCTTTCAGTTATTTATTAAAACATTCAACAACCTCATGAAAATCACTTTTTTTCCTGTGCCTAGAATATTTCAAGAAAAACTCCAAACTCTCTGTCCTTGTCAAGTTGTGTTTTAGACTGGGCTAACAGTTGGTAGATGATAAGTAGATGCTCAAAAAGTATGTGGCAGTGTGTGGCATTTTGTGTTGTTTGGACCATAAGGCAGGGTGAGAGAGATGAGGAGGGAAAGAGGTGAGTATTTGATGAGGTGGTTCTGATGAGGTGGCATCTGACCTGCAACCTTGAGTCATGTGAGGATTGAAGGACAAAGTTGTGCTAGAAGGAATGGTAGGTGTAGAGGCTTGAGGACAGAGCTCACTGGGTATGCTAGATGCCTGGCTAGGGGCCAGAGTAGCTAGAGTGAAGTAAGGGGAAAGATGGGAAGAAGTGGGGAGAATTTCATGAGCTGTTGCAAGAATCGGAAGTTCCTAAGGTCTGTTGGAAGTCACAGGAAGGCATTGGGAGGACTAATGAGCACAATTTGACTTCCATTAAAAAAGAATAAGGAAAGTAAAAGACAGCTTTGGGAGCTGAGAGTAGTCCACGTCATCAGAGACAAGGGAAGGACAGAGAACACTTAAGAGACTTGTAATCTGTCCCGAGAAGGGTGATGGTGACACGGACCCAGGAGCACGAGTGGGGGAGGGTGTGATGGCTGGGTTCTGGATCCGTTTTGAAGGAGATGATGCTAATGATTTGGCTAGGTAGAAGGAGCAAGAGAGATACCAAGATTTTTGACTCAAGTTACTAGAAGAATGGACTTGCCACTGATTGAGATGGTAAGGCTGAGGGGAAGCTGTCAACAAACTAGGAATAGTAGAAGGAAACTTCCTCGACCTAATAAAAGGTATCTAGGTGACATAGTCTTACATGCAGAAAACCTTAAGGACTCTATTCAGGCTCTTAGAACTGGTAACTAGGCACTGCAAGGTTGGCTGGAAATAAGAGCAAGGTACAAAATTCAGGGTTATGCTGTTGTTTTATTTTCTTTCTTTTTTCCTTCCTCCTTTCTTCTCTCTCTCTCTCTCTCTCTCTCTCTCTCTCTCTCTCTCTCTCTCTATTTTTTATTTATTTATTTTTTTGCTTTTTTGAGTTAGAGTTTCATCTCAAACTCTGTATCTTCCTGCCTCAGCCTCCTGAGTTCTGGGATTGCAGGCATGCTCCCCCATGCCTGGACAGTTTTATGCTATGTATGAAGGATTAGCATTCTAGAAATGAAACTATGAAAGCAATAGCGTTTGCTCTAGGAGACTGGGTAGGATTAACCAGAAAAAGGATGTCTGCATAGAGAGGAAGAAATAAATATCTGGTATCAAAGCTACAGGAACCGACTTTGGTAGGTAAGGAGATGAGGGGGTGCCAACAGATGGGACAGATAGGAGACCACAAGTGTGGGTTCTGGGTAGCCAAGAGGTCATATCTAGGGACAAGTATTTGGAGAAGAAGTATTTGATCAGCAGGTAAAAAGCAAGTGGGAGAGAAGGGAAGAGGAGAGTGAGATGAGGCTGAGTCCAGAACTTTCTTTTTTTGGAAAAAGATAATGAAAAATTGGGTATTAAAAATGGATATGCAAGCCCATTTTTGTGCCTCTTACTCACATAGGAATAGTTCCCACTTGTAGTCTGAAGGTTTCTCTGGTCCTGTCCTGCCCTGTGGTCAGGACGAATCTCTCCCTTCTGCTTTCTGTAGCCATTTGATTCCAAGTAAACACACAGAGGCTTATATTACTTTCAAAGCCTATGGGTCAGGCTTCTTCCTAGCTAGCTCTTATATCTTAAAGTAACCTATTTCTATTAATCTATGTTTTGCCACGTATTCTGTGGCTTTACCAGTCTGCTGGCATCCTGCTTCTCCTTTAGTGGTGGCTGGCGTCTCCTTCCTCTTTCCAGAATTCTTTTAGTCTGCTCACCCCACCTATTCTTCCTGCCTAGCTACTGGCCAATCAGTGTTTTATTAAACCAGTGTACAAAAGCATTATCCCACAGCACCCACTAGTGACTGTGAAAGTCTGCAAATACTTGCTCTGCCTTCTAGTTACCTCATTATCATCTGTAACAGTTTGCTGAGGGCGTAGGGACTTGTCCATGGATTCACTTTGTGCTGTGTGAGTCCAGGATTAGTAGCGGCAACATGAACTGAAATTAACTCAGCAAGAACTTGATCAGAGCACTGAGCTTGGTGACAGAGGCTACTGAGAAGAGAATAGAGATAGCCCCGCTCTCTACGGGGTCGACACATCCCCAGAAAAGCAGGAAGCTGATATCCTCTGATGCCCATAGGTTGTAGCATGAGTCAGTCAGACATCCTGTGTGAAGCATTGGCCCTTTCTAAAACTAACAGCAATGTTCTTCCTCACATTCCTGACAGTTCATGACATTTGACTCTAAATTTCACAAAGCTCTTCAACGTGGGTGGTGTTTAAGTTTCCCATACCTTCCTCCTTCCCTCCAACCTTCTTTCTCCTTTTCCTAACCCCCTCTTCTCTGCCCTCCTTCCTCTTCTCCTCTCTCCTTTCCTTTTCTCCCTTTTCTGTTTTCTTCCAACTCAGTGATAGAAACAGACTCAAAAAGATGGAGCAACTTTTCCACCCTCGTGCATCGTTCAGACCTGCGAGCGTGCTGCAGACTGGGGGGTCGGGTGGGCGTCCTGCTTCTGGATTTGAGTTTAGCATCAGCAGAGCTTGCTGTGCTTTGACAGTTTATTCCTGCTTGCTGGTGGGGTTCCATATCTGTGTGTGTGTGTGTGTGTGTGTGTGTGTGTGTGTGTGTGTGTGTGTGTACATGTGCGTGTGAACACGTGATCAACAGCATGGTTAACTGACTTGAATTGTGAGTCCAGATAGTCAGTTGTGGGTCTCCTCTTGGCTCCAGGTGCTGTTCAGAAGCATATTGGGTTCTTGACTGCTGCCTTGTAACTGAATTCTTTTCTTTTCCCTAGTGTACGAGTTATTTGCATTCATCAGTCACATGGGGACATCTACAATGAGTGGCCATTATGTCTGCCATATCAAAAAGGAGGGACGGTGAGTCTTGTTTAGAAAGATGGTGGATAGCTGGGGTGTTGAGCCCCTCCTGGGTTCAACTCTTGTACTAGTATTTTCTATGTTGTTTCTGGTTCTCAAGTCAAACTTGGGAGATTTGCAAAGAGGTAGGAATGAGGTGACATAACCTCACACCTTCTCCTTGGGGGTTCTCCCTTCTGTTCCTGCTGAGGCCTGTGCTGGGCTTTCCTGCTTGTTCACATCACATGGACAGTGGCATAACACATATGCTTGCCCCCCCAGGTAGAGTGTTGACCTTTCACCCATGTCTCCCATGACCAAGACAGTTTGTTCCTGTCCAGACTCAACTGTTTTTTCCTTCCTTCCTTCCTTCCTTCCTTCCTTCCTTCCTCCCTCCCTCCCTTCCTGCCCCGTCCCTCCCTCCCTCCCTCCCTCCCTCCTTCCCTTCCTCTCTCTCTCTCTCTCTCTCTCTTTCTTTTTGTTTTTTCAAGTCTTTTAGCTTCTCAGCTTGATCAGTAGAGTCAAGCAGAGAACATAGGTCTGTGATTGGAAATAAGATATTAACAAATTCAAAAGGCTGCTGAAAATGAAGCAGTGTTTAACATACCATTCTGTAGAAGGGGATACAGCATAGAGAAAAGGCAAACATGGCTGGTGGACTCATCTGGTGCAAGACAGTGGTTTTTCAAGTTGCCTAACTGGCAACTTCTGTTGGCCGGGTCTTGTCCCAAACTCCTTATCTCATTGGCTTGGGACACAGAGCCTTATCCAATGAACAGTTGAGACTGCCCTTTCTTGGGATTAGTCTGTAGCAGAAGACCTGTTCCTTTCTAAAACCCCTAAATGCACCTCGTGCTGAAAATGGACAGTCCGTTTTTTTTTTACACAGGAACTTACATACATGATAACCTCAAGGAATGGCCTAATTAGAGAAATCAGTACAAATAATTGTAACAAATCAGGACAGTACAAAACAATGCAAAGAATATGTATTTTGTAATTGTAAGGACAGCCATTGTCTGCATATTGATATCTTTCTTTCTTTTTTCTGTTGGCATCATTGGGGGAGGACACACATACATACACACACACTCACACACACACACACACTCACACACAGTCATACACACACACTCACACACACACACACTCATATACACATACACTCACACACATACACACACTCACACACCCATACACACACACACACACACACACACACACACACACACACACACACACACATTTGTGCACATGTACTTTCACCTTTTTGAAATCTTAGAGTATGTGCAGGGAGTTGTACCCTTTCTTTGGTTGTTTTTTTTTTTTTTTGCTTAGAATTTGTGTTTTTTCTTTTTAACTTAAAAATTTGTGAGATTATAATGTAATTACAACATTTCTTCTCCCTTCCCTTCCCTCTCTCCAAACCTTCCCACATTCCCCTCCTTGCTCCCTTTCAAATTCTTGGCCTCTTTTCTGGTTAATTGCTGTTGCATGCTTACATGCATATATGCATATACATATATATTACTAAATATAACCTGCTTGCCCTTCCATGTTTTATTGTGACTTGTCCATATTACATCTTCATACTATAATTATTTTCTTGCTTTATCAAATATTTTTTGAAGAAATGTTCACAGTTATTTAATAGTTCACTGATGCATGTTTACCTCTGAATTTTAGGCTGTTCTATACCAAGATTTAAATACACATCACTGGATATAATTCTTGGATTGCTTTTTGAGGCTCTTTATAGGTTTCCACAAAGAGAATTATGGAATGGAAAATTTAAACAACTTGAATAATTCCAATACATTTTAGTAACTAGTTTTTGATTGAATTCAAGAACTCAAAAGCAGGGCTAGGGGTGTGGCTCAGTTGGTGGACTGTTGATGAACAGTTCTTAGCTCAGTTCTTAGCACCACATAAACTAGGAATGGTGCACAGTTCAGAGGCATCCTGGGCTAGCTATCAAGTTTGAAGCCAGCCTGAGCCTTGAAACCCTGTCTGGAGAGAGAAAGAGGAGAGAGAGAGAGAGAGAGAGAGAGAGAGAGAGAGAGAGAGAGAGAGAGAGAGATTTGGGGTGGGTGGGGAGTTTTGCACCAGAATTCCATTCCTTTTATGCAGTGGTTGGGCTGTGGTCATGGGGAAGCCTCCGAGCTGTTGAGGACTCGTCCATGGTGTACAATGCCTTCTTTCTACCGCATGTCCATTGCTGACATAAACCCACCACATGCTTCTGTCTTTGTTTTCAGATGGGTGATCTACAATGACCACAGAGTTTGTGCCTCAGAAAGGCCCCCTAAAGACCTGGGATATATGTACTTTTACCGTAGGATACCAAGCTAAGCCTCACAAGAGTTGGCGAGAAGAAGCCATACATCTTTTTAATTTGCCAAAAAAGAAAAAAAAAAAAAGAAAACAGAAAAGTAAAGGAAAAAAGTTGGGACAGCTGGACATAGAGGACTACATGGCTAGTTATTGCCTCTTCCAAGAGCCTGGTCACTCAACTCGACGCCTCCTGGAGAAGAACGGGAAGACATTTATTTCTATTGGTGGCAATACTCTGCTGTAGGGAATTTTGTAACTGTTCAGGGAGCGGATGATGTAAGCAAAGACATGGCCACCAGCACATCAGATACAGAGTGTCCTTCTCTCTCTTTTCCACTTTGGGGGTCAGTGGTGAGGCCTCTCCTACAGAGGAAAAATGCCCCTAAATGGGAAATCAAAACCTGGGCTGGTTTTTATTTGTAGCATCATGTTTTCATTTCCCACAATAATTTCTGACCTAGCTATGTGTACTAGGACATCTACAATGGAAGCTGTTTTTAATTTAAATCATATCAGACTTAATAATCCACTGTATGAATGTGTGTGAGAGTGTATGTGTGGCCTTTGTAGTCCGCTGGAAATCTGATGGGTTGGTGTTCAAAGGCCCAATAGTTGCTGTTAAGCATATTTGGAAAAGGCAGGCAAACATTTTAACAAACCTATAACTCAGGAACAATTGTTAAAAATTAGTTCCCCACCTGGATTTTAAGGGAGTACAAAGGGCTGTGCTGTGGCCTCTAAGTGCTTTCTGGTATTCATGTGGGTTTGTGCCAGTTGATATCAATGCCAGGTGCCCAAGTCTTGTCCTATTGTGCTTTGCCAAAGGCAGATGGCTTCTCTTCCTCAGCAGCGTATTCCCTCAAAGCTTTGTGTTTATTTGTAGCTAGGTCAGTGGTCTCCTAAGCCTTGTGCTTAGTCCCTGGAATCATGTTAAATGCCGTTGGTTTGTCTGATTTTCTGAACTTTCTCATGTTTTCGCTTCTCTGCTTCTCTGGGCCCAGCCTCACCTCTGCCCTTGCTGCCTATCTGCTGTGACCCCAAGTGTGACCTTGGGCACTTTAGGATGTGAGCTGCAGAGGCGCTTCTGTAACATCTGGACAGCTGTCCTTTCTAGCTGTTCATCTCAGTGTCTTAGCTGCAGCCTGAGATCAGAGCAGAGTTCTGGGTGTGTGATGGAGAGGAATGAGCTCGCTGTCATGTCCTTACTGCTTTTCACCAAATTCCTGTCCCTGAAGTTTCTAGTTCAGACTAGTTGATCAAGTGAAAAAGGATTTATTGCTGTCTGCTTACTTGTTTGATTGGAAAGATCTTTCTAGAAACTGCAGGAAAATAAAGAAGTAAAACTAACTGGGCTGAGTAAAGCAGAGGCATAGGACTCGGATGTGGTGAGTTTGAACAGTCAGGGTTCTGTTAAGCCAGGGTCCTTGTCTGAAGGAAGGTCATGTGTCCTGCAAGCCCGGGCTGTGGAACTGGGGCCAGAGGCCTGGAAACCTGGGTGCTGCCTCAACTGGCTGTGGGCCTTGGCCAACCCTTCCTTTTACCTGTGCCTCACTCCTCATCTGCATGGTGGTGAGGTGGCGCGTCTCCTGTTTCTAGCAGGCTTTGACCAGCGAGGAACCTTCACAGAGCGCAGAAGGTGGAGCATGGTAGGTGCCAGGAGAGTACGATCCCTGCCTCCTCGACTAGCTGATGCTTTTACCCTCTGGTAACAAAGGACATGGCGGGAGGGAGTGCATGATGCAGTCGTTCTCTACCACACTGTCCCACTGATCCCTCGAGGCTTGGCTCTGAGATCCCGAGTCTGCTATGTGTGTCCCTGACCAGCCTGCCCCCTCACCCCACCCCCGTGGGAATTCCCACACGAAGCAGCCTTACAAAACCCACTCCCTATAGGGCCACATGTCATGGAATAATGACTCTGAACACACCTTACTGGTGGCTGGTTTGCAGTGTTACAAAGCAAAGGCCTTTTGTGGGGGTAGGGGGCTCTTTGGAGGTTTGAATTCAAATGTGGTCAAAGATAGCATGTATATTTTGAACAAAATAAAAATTTTATAAAAACTTTGCAATATCAATGGTGTAAAAATCTGCATTAAAGATTTCAGGTTATAAACCCCTTAATTTCATTAGGTAGACTAAGCAAATTAGCCCTTCCGATACCGAGACATACTTGAAGAAAGTGTATTATGGCCGCCTCCGCCCCTGCCTCACGAACACAAGGGCTATTTCCTGGCAAGGTTTTGTATATGCGCTATTCATTCATAGTAGGAGCTGGCCGCACCGGAATGAGCAGTGGCTTTCTTGTTAGAAATGTGCTTGCCTGTGTCTCCTGGTGTATGCACATCAGGCTTCTCTAGAGCAGCGGTGGGATAGACCACTTACACGTGTGTGTAGACAGGACACGTGTTTGGCTGCACCTGGAACGGTGTGTGGGTTTTGTCTGCTGACCCACCTGCCAGGAGTCTTCTGTGTGAGATGTGGTGGTGTGTTTGTGTGGCACGTTCTCCACGTGTCGCCATCTGTGTGAAGGGCAGAGCTTTCTTCCTGTAAATAGCTTTTGATATTCACTTGTGTAGACTCCCAATGTATCTTTGGAAAATGGATCAAAGTTTCTGTTTTGTCATTTGGTCTAAATACCCAAATAACTAGTCAGAAATCCACTTTGGTACAGCTGAGATTTTCTTTTTCTTCTAAACGAAAAGAATCTGGGAAGAACCATATTTTAATGACGTTTTATATCAATGTTGCTTTAGTCCTTTGGAATTGCCTAGCCGTTTCCCCAAACCTACAAGAGAACGTGCCTGCGGTCTCTCCTGAATCCCTCTGGGCTTAGACACAAGCTCACGTCCTGGCTTTGCCTCTCGGGGTGGTCTGCCTGTGTCATTTTTCCTCTTGGGGCCTTTGTCTGTGGACCAGGAGGTTAGACCAGATCATCTGGGAAGTCCCTTTCTGTCCTACAACCACATTTCGTTTTTACTTTTCAGCGATTACAACCAGAATCAGGCCTGAACTGTGGCCATCAGAAGTTGGGGTGTCTGAGTCTGTCATTGTTAGGCTATACCCTGTTTCTGTTCCTGGTCTGTTTTCTTTGGTAATCCCATTTCCCCCACTTTGGCGCTCACAGCTCTTAAGTCTGTGAGGCCTTTGTGACTGTCCCTCTCCCAAGCAAAAGCAAGCAGTAGTCCATTTGTGACACCCTCTTGGAAAAGTCTCAGATCGACCTTCAGCTCAGTCTAACATGAACAATGCTTTAAAATCCCGATTCCCCTGAGGAGAGCCCCGATCCCCTGATAAGTGCGGACAAAGCTGTCTGTCCTAGAAAGTCTGTCTTTAGAGCCTGTGAGGAGTTGCCAGGAGACCTGGGCAAAACAGACAATCGGGTTAGATACATGTGCTTCTTCCTGTTAGGTAAACACTCCAGATGACAGACAAGGCCCGTGTTGTTAAGTTGTTGAATAGGACCTCCTTGCTGATGCCACCAGGGTTTCCTCTTGTCCGACTTAGTGTTTCATTGGTGTAATAAAGACCACAACCAAAGCACTTTGGGGAGGAAAGGGTTCGTTTCCTCTTATAACTTACAGTCCACCATGAAGAAAGGGCAGGGCAGGAACTCAAGGCAAGAACCTAAAGGCAAGTGCCGAGACAGAGGCCATGGAGGGGTGCTGCTCACTGGCTTGCTCCCCATGGCTTGCTCAGCCTGCTTTCTTATACAACCCAAGACAACCTGCCTCAGGGTGGCCCCACCCACAGTAGGCTGGGCCCTCCCACAATCATTAATCAGGGAGATGTCCCATATGCTTGCCCACAGGTTAATCTTAATGGAAACATTTTCTCAATCCAGGCTCCCTCTTCCCAGATGACCTTAGCTTGGGTCAAATTAACAAAAACAAACAAGACAATCAGCACACCTACTCAATAAATCATCAGAGTTTGTGGAAGATTCTGTAGCCCTCTAGTGTGGTGGGATTTGGCCAGTCCATACTAAGATTGTCCTGCACACTTAAAATGTACACAGAAACTTGAAGGCTTCAACAAACAGTATGACTATCTTATCATGTGGTTTGCAAATGATGTGGGATACATTGATTTAATGTAATGGTAACTTAATATTTAAATTAGTTTCACTAGATTGCCATCTGTTCTTAGTGTGGCTACTGAAACATTTGGTTCTGTGGCTAATGTCCTTCCATTAGTGCGCCACAGTGTGAGGTAGGCAGGAAATCCCATGTGTAAGAAGAAAATTCTAGAGAGGCTCCAAATCGAAGCAACACATCGGGAACACCTGAGGTACTGAACAAGCAACAGAAACTACAAGATTTTTCTGCATAGGAAAATACATCTCCCCAGTTTAGAGACAAAAGTAGTGCATCCCCAATGGCCGTCCTTCATACTCGCTTTGGCGATGCCCTGTGGACCAGCACCTGTTTTCCCAGCATCCTCAGGGTGCTGTGGGTGTTAGCTGTGGCAGGGGTTTGAGCACACTGCTTCCTCCTCAGGCTGCATTCTCTTGTGGTTCCCCTCCCTGGGTGTCGTCTAGTCTGTTCACAGCTGGGCATGTGGAAAGGCTTCGTGGCTCTCAGCGCTCCTCGGCTTGGAGGTTGAGCCTGACCTGTGTCCATTTGCCCAACAGTGGTGTTGTTGGTTGCTGGAAGACCTGGTATTTATTTATTTTGCACTAGTCACGGTTGGTGTGGAAATTACTTCAAGTGTTTGGGAGAGTACTCGCCTATGATGGAAAGAGATGGATAATTTATTGCTTTGATAGTTTTAAATTAAAAGCTATTCTCACAAACTCAGGTCCCTTTATGACTCTTGTTTATTTTTGCTTGAAAAATGCCAAATAAATTGATGATGTCTGTGGTGAATGGGGAACTCAAGACCATGACTGATTTCCTTTAACCATGGCTTGCTGATGTGACCAGGCAGCCTTGGTCCCCATCCCCAGCAGATGTCAGCACCTTGAAAGAAGGTTGGGATGGTGGGGATCCAGGAGGCTGACATCTGGACTTTCCCTGTTGGTTATCCAGACACACAGAAACCTCTGTGGCTTTGGCTCTCCAGTGGTAGTAGCAGAGTGAATGTGTTACATGGGGGATTTAGCCTATCTGACAATACATTTCTATTGTGTATAAGTTCCTTATTGCTACTATAGCACTTTGCCACAAAGTTGCTTTAAAATAACACATCCACTCTCTCATCCTATGCTAAAACCCTGGGGCAGGAAGAATTCATTCCTGTGGTTTCCTCTGGCAGAGTCCTGACAGCTTTGATATCAGCCATGCTCACATCTCCATTGAGTGGATCGCTTGCCTCGCTCCTATAAGAACTCCAGGGTTGCATTCACTCACTCTGCTGATTTAGACCACTCCCACCTCAAAGTCCTTAACCTCAGTATATTCCTGTGACCAGGGAGCTGGAAACGGGAGGATCAGGAGTTCAGAGTCCTCAGCGATATAGGCAGTTAGAGTCCAGCCTGGATTACAAGAGACCCTGTGCAAACCAACAAAAACCTTTACTTTGATCACATCTACAAATTCCTTTGGCCATACCAGACAGCACAATCATAACGCACAGGTATTAGAGTGTAGACATTAGTAATGTCTTTGGGGTTGGGGACACTGTTTTGCTTAGCACACAGGGTATGGTACTGTTTGCAAATATATCTCTGTGGCTCAAAGGTTTTAAAAGAACGAACCTATGCATTTTAAAAGTCTTAGTCATTGCCTGACATCAGTGGAAGGCCATGGTTTTGGTGAGAGGATGAGAAGAAAGAGTGGTTGGCACGGTGAGATATTATTTATGGTTCAGAGAAAAATGCTTGCAAGCTGGCTGCTACTGCCTCACAGCAGAGTCTTCCCTTCTCATCATTCAACTATATGCTATTGATTCTTTAGCTCAACTTTTCCAAGGTAGTCAGTGACAGAATTCAGTCGCCGTAGGAAAATATAATAGGAAAAGGTGAAATTTGTCTTTGCAGGTGGCCAATCCTTTTAAAGGTGGGATGGTAGGGAGGTAGCATGTCAGGGATGGGGCATACATCATATCCCTTTCACTGGACTTGCATAAGTGTGACTTGATCTCTCCTTGTATGATTCCTCAGATGAGGTATGAAAAACATGATAGTTTGGTGGACATGGGACTCATTAAACCAAATGGTTCTTGCAGCCTATGGGGGGTTTTGAGCCCTTGTTTTAGTCCAAGGTATTTTTAAAAATAAATGTTGCACCACAATTAATGACTACTTTCCAAACAAACTTTCCTGGAGATTTTCATTCAGCCAACTGGCTTGTTAATCTGTGCATCCTACAATAAACAAACATCTACCATGTTCTATGTGTCATTTTGTTTACAGTGTGTCTGTAAATAAAGTAGACATGCTCCTTGCCCTTGTTGAATTAGTTTCCTAGCAACACCAGATGTCAATAGTAATGTTCTGTGATGTGTGAAAAGATACGGAGCATGGAACAGGGAACAGGGGCTGATTCTGATAAACGGGGTATCCAGGGATGGGGTGGCATTATGATATGAGACCTAGACCAAGACTTGCAGGAGAAGGAGCCATTCAGGTGGGTGTTGGGGGGAACTGGTGTGGAGGCCTCCAGTGGTGGCATGTCTACTCTCTCATACAAGCAGCAAAGGGTCAGCAGGGCTGGAGAGAAGGGCATGATGGGACAGGAGGTCAAAGGAGGGGGGCAGCTGTCTTGGGGCAAGACTCCAGAGTATAGACCATCAAGGGTCTTCAGCAGAGCAGTGACCCATCTGACTGAAGTTTGGGACTCTTGTTTAGGCTAGATGATATGAGAGCAAGGACAGAGGAGAGAGGGGAGGAATTGCAGATTTTAAACACAGGAAACTTCAGAATTTTTGCTCTAAGGAGAGAAGTGGGTGGTGGCTGATAGGTGGGGTGTTAGTTTTCAAATGTGAGAAAGGAGGTGGGCAAACAGCAAACTGGCTTTTGAGGCTGATGGAGAAGCGGTGGATGGAAAGGTTGCAGGTCCCATGTGCTTGAGCAGGTGAGCGGGATGGAGTCTTATGCCAGAGTGGGGGCTGGTGTTGATGAGTCATCGAAATGGGGACATGGGAGGGAGGTGGGGCCAGCACTGGCAGGTGGCTCCCTCTCTCCCCAGCTTTACTTTGCTCTGAGATAGAAGCTAACAGCAAGCCCATAGCCCAGAGTGAGACAGAGTGGCTGGGGAAGCCTCGGCTATCTGAAGAGAGAGAAAGTGTGAAATGTTTATGTAGTTGAACTAACTTAAAATTGCCATTTTTTTCTATTTGAATGAAATTAGTTTAATTGGTATTAATTCTGTACATTTTATAAGGACAGAGTCATTAGTTTCAGACCTTTGCCATTAGACATTTTCTTTTGTAGACATTTTCATTTTTATGGGGTCAGACTTTGTAAATATATATTAAGCCAAGAAGATTTTCTACTCTCTTTTTTTTTTGAGAGCTCGTTTGGATCCAGCAGGGGAATGCAGGGACTTGTATACCCTTGGCCAAAAGTGATATTTCTCTATTTGGGGGAGGTTGAGTGTGCAGCTCTTGGAGGGACACACATGATGTAGTGAGGGAGGAAGGAGACACCACTGACCGGCCAGATCAGGGGTCAGCCCTGTCAATCAATGAGGCGACAGTTGTAGTTATACTGCCTTCACTTCTCCTTTTTTTTTTTGACACAGGATCTAGCTATGAGGCCCAGACTGGCCTTGAACCCACAGTCCTGCCCCAGCCTCCCAGGTGTTGAGATGAGGGGTGTGCATCATACTATCTAGTTGATTTTGAATTTCAAGTTTAAATCCAAAGCAGATTTTAGTTATTACCTTGACTGTTTTTCTGAAGCCTCCTTTTTCCTGGGTCAGGTTTGGCGGGTCTGAAGGTCAGCTTTGCATTTTTGTTAGCTTTGAATCCAGGGGACCTTCGCTGACTCGGCCACGGTTTGCTCCTCTTTCATTTGCAACAATCAGCTACGGGGTGGGTAAAATTAACAGTGGGGGACATGGTGTCCCTTTGGGGTAAATGGCAGAGGAGAAGTACCTGCTGGGATCTGGCCCGGCCAGGTCAGCAGACTGGACTGAAGGAGGCTGTCTATACCTATCTAAGCTCAAGTGAGTACATTCAAATTTGCAGCCTACTGTGGGTTAGTAGTTTAGTTCTACAAAGAACAACACTAGAATTAGCCATCATTTCCCCAAATCAAGATGCATGGCTATGTGAGTACCAGGGGTTAAAGTAGTCAATAGTGAAGAGCCTGTCTAGCATGTGCAAAGCTCCCGGTCGAATTCTCAGCATTGAAAACAAAACAAACACCAAACCCAAACTACTCTAAAACAAAACTAGCCAGGAAGCAGCATTTTTTGTGGAATGTAAAGTTAGTAATAAATAATAATAATAATAGTAATATAAAAATACAAACTTGTAAGTGCTTTCTGCATAGTTTAGGGAGGCTGAGGTGATGTCTCAGTCACGAAAGTGCTCTCCACACAAGCATGAGGACCTAAGTTCAGATTCCCAGCACCTCCATAAAAAGCTGGGTGTGGCTTTACTTACCTGTAATCCTAGTGCTGGGAGGCAGTGTCAAGAGGAACCCTGGAGCTCTTCAGCCAGCTAGTTTTCCTGAACTGGGGAGCTCCAGGCTCAGTGAGAGACCCTGACTCAAAAAAATAAGGTGGACGGGGGCTGCAGGGATGGCTCAGGTTAAGAATACTGCTCTTTTAGAAAACTGGGAGTTCAGTTCCCAGAACCTGTGCCAGGAAACCTCAGAATGACCTGTCACCCCCCTCCACACACACACACACACACACACACACACACACACACACACACACACACACAGGTGTCAAACACACATAAACAAACTTTAAAATCGTGGAGACAAAGACACCCAAGGTTGACCTATGACCTCTACATGTACATGCATCCCCCCTCCATATGTACACATAGGAAGATGTACACACATAAAGTCATAAAGAATGCCTTACACCTTTGGCTGGTGCTACATACTCATGGAGAGAAGCAGCTCTTTTTGGAATAATACTTGATGTTTTAGAAAGTGGAGGTAGGAGACTTTTTAAAAAGCCCCAAGTTAATGTGAGGTGGTTATAAAGCTCCGCTTTCCCACATTAGTGTGCTGTATCCAACAGTGAAGCAGGGAGTGAAAATATACAACCTGACTTTTTGGAGGAAAGGATGGAAGACATCAAGGCCAAGTGCCCCCTGAGGTCAAGGAGGAGGAGTGAGGAGGAGGCCTGAGCTCCAGTCCTGGTCCCCTACAGCCCCCTTCACTCTCAACCTCACCAGGCCGGGATGACTTTGATTGGGAAACAGACTTCAGGGCTGGTGGGGAGCTCTGCCCTTTGCCCTGCTCTGAGGAGGTCTCCCTGGTGCCTTGGTCTCCTTTCATGAGCTCACACCAAGGGCATTCGCACCTTGGTGACCAGGTGTTGATTCTTCCAGGAGTGTTGTCTCCCACTCCATTTTGCTGGTTCTTGGTTTGAATCCCAGCCCACATGTTCCCTATTTTCTGACTACCTGGAAATGAGGACCTAAGTCCTCATGGCGCCTCCACTTGCACGCGCCTTCTGACTGTTATTGACTAGGTGTGTCTTACACTCGAATGGAGCCTGCACGCAGTGTTCAAGTTATTTAGTGTCTGACTGATCCCTTTAAGAAAGACCCTGAAGTGACACATGTTTTAATGCTTTTATTTTAAAAAGATCACAAATTTCAGTTTTAGGTTAATATTTTAGTCTTAAAAAATTAACAAAGGAAACAGTTTTCAGGGTTTGTTGTTCATCTACAAATGCATTCCTGCTTTCCAGATAACTCATGCAAAATTGTATGTAGTGATACTCAATGGAAGGACTTCTCTTAAAGCGGTAGTAACTGGTTTCTACTTGGCTGCAAGTGGTTCTGACCCCAAATCCCATCTTGAGAGAGTCCTGAAAAGACCATGAAGCCACAGACAAAGTTTATTTGGAAACATAGTTTAAAACTGCATAAATGTAAATACAGGTTAATAATGTGAAAAAGGAAGGCGTGCCTTCAACAAAGTATAAACACACTACCTCAAGCTTGGTATTTTGCAAATTATAAGTCATCAGAGTGAATTAACACATCTGTAGGATAAGTGGTTATTTTGATAGTAGTTTTATTTCAAAAGGCAATGCAGAGAAAGACTATGACGAAGGCTTACTACATGGCAGAGTAGGCTGCGTGTTATTCACTAGGCCACAGAAATAGTATCTCATAGTATGCCAATAATATTCAAATCCCCATTGCCATTAATTGACGATAGATCACTTAATTTGGGGTTGGTATTAGTTTAGAAATTCAGTGTAAACATTTAAAGTTAAGTTTTTCTGTTACCTACATCAGCTTGAAATCTCATGAAACCCCAGATTTTAAAGCTATTGAGCACAATAAGGAAGCCTCGTGGTACTTTCCTTAAAACACAATTTTAGGTTAGACTAAATATGCAGGATTCATAGATATACAAAATAGATAGAAATATTTCTAAATAGTTCATAAATGCTTCTTATAGGTTGTAAAAAGTTTACTGAATTAATCAGTTCTTTTCAACTGATGTAAACAAATTTGGGTAAAGAAAGTTGAGGAGGACTTGGGCCAGATGCTGTGTGGGGGAAAGAAAGAAAGACTGGTCAATTGGGCTTGTGACATCCTTTCACTGATGGTAACATGAACTCCCTGATCACATGGCGCAATCCTTGTGGAATCCCTATGAGAGAATGTCACGTGTCTCAGTGAAGATGGCAGATATCCAGTTTACTCACTGTGTGCAAGTCATTTCCCTCTCCCATCAATTCAAAGACAAACCAAAGCCAACTTCAAAGATGCACATTGTACAGTTAAGCCACCAGTGGCTTCCTTGTGTTTTTCACCTTATTATCATTTTCAGTGAAGTTTTTCTGGGACTGTCCCTATGTCTTGCTGAGGGATACTCAGCTACCCTTTCTATAGCTCAGGAGGTCCTGAGGTTCGGGCGCTGGTCTCCAGACCATTTTATTTGGTATTTCTGTAGCAATTTCAGCAGCTGTGTGCAGTGTGAGAAACTATCAGGCCTCACACTTTGAGTTCCTCTTAAGTTTCTACTGTCTCCACACTATGGTCTTTTTCTGTGTCAGGGAAGAGTAATTTAGACTCTGGGCTTGTGTGTGGGAGGGCATGGGATGTTATGAAAGGGTAAAAAAGTTGTTTTTCACATATGACCTAAATAAAGGTCTTTTTAATTTTTTTTGAGACAGTGTCTTGCACAGGATGGTCTTGAACTCTGTATGGCCAAGGATGACCTTGAATTCCTGACCTTCCTTGCTAGGATTACAGATGTGTGCCACCATGCCCAGTTGAATGCTTTGCAGGATCAAACCCAGAGCTTTGGGCATGGGAAACAAGCACTGTCAATGCGGCTATGTCCCCAGCCCCAGCCCCTGAACTGAGCTATAATCTCTCCTTTCCTGGCATTTTCATAAGACTGGGGTTTTAGGAGAAGACAGAGAGAAGACATTGGCCATAAAATCATCTCCTACCCCTGAATTGGAGTGTTTTTGGTCAGGTTGATCAAATCTAGTTTCTGAAGGGAAAGGGACCTTGACTTTGCAAATAGAACAGTAACCTACATACACTCTACTCTGTGACATACTATCCCGATGGGGAACTAAGGCCCCACATCCACTTTGCCTCAGGGCAATCTCTGTATGTATGACATCACTCTGACCTCCCCACATAATTTAGAATTCCAGTGTTTTCTACTGTTTTCCTAAACTTTCTGAAAAGAAAACTTGAACTACGTTTTTAAGAATTTAGAGTTCAAAGCTTCTTGTGCAAAGACATTTTTAGCTCTATCAAGCTTCATGTGGGTTTTAAAGGACCCAAGTCTGTACCTGGGTCCCTCAGAAGATTGGCCTGAGACTGTCAGTCACAATGTATGAACCAACCTGTGAGCATCGGTCAATGCCAATGTGATAGCAGGACAACAGTCTACAGGATGAGATGGGCAAAGCAATAGAAAACACTGGAACATTAGGGAGTGCTTGCTTGTTGAGAAGAGTGGAAACACAAGCTAGCCTATGACACCAGTCATGCATGGGGTAAGTGGGCCAGTTTACATTCAGTGAAAGTATCTTGCATGCTTTGGTTAATAGTCATAGGCAGATTTTAAGTACTGATACATGCAATAGTTTTGTACCTGAGGTTATATGTTTTTGCTTTTTAAAAATTGCCTTTTTACAAACTTTATGCCAGAGTTGGTCTATGAACACTCTTTAAAAATATATGTATCTACTTCTTAGTTCAAAACAGCATAATTCAGCCAGTCCTATAAATAGTGAAATGAGAAGGGCATTGTGCAGAAACATTTGCATAGGGAACCAGTTTGAAGCTATGTTACAAGGTTGAAGTCATGGGTGTTGCCTGTGTCTTCTTTTTTAAAACAAGAGGTCTCAGAAAGATGGCACATGAATTAAACCTTCCAAATACCTGCTTTCTAAACTGCTTCTAGAAGCATGTCAGGACAGGAAAAAAAAATCACTACCACCGTCACAACAGTAAGGTAAGTGCAATCAACCTTGTGGAAGCAGTTCAGAGGACACAGTGACATCCTCTTTCCTCTGGTCCCGCCAGGAGTGCACAGGTAGACTTTATGGTGAGAGGTTTGGAACTGTGAGATGAGCTACAATTGTAGTCAAGCCTTGCCCACATGGCAAGAATACGCCAGAGCATTTATCTAAAAAAGAATTTGGATATTGATCTAAGAGTCAGCATGACCTCTCAATATAAATAAAAACGGCATGTACATCTGAGAATGAGTGTATTCTGGACGTTCCTACCCTATTCTGGCAGACATCAGACTGGCTGAGGAAGTGCACTTCATTGTTAGTTATTAAAGTTTCTGGTGGGTTGGAGGGAGGGATGTCAGGATGAAGTGCAGAGAATAAAGAATCACTGGGACTGACTTGGTTAGAAGGTCCTTTCCTCCTCATCTAGAGTCCAGGATGACCTTAAACTCCTGATCTTCCTGCTTCCATTTCCCAAGTGCTGGGATTACAGCTGTACACTGCCATGGTCGGTTTATGTGGTTCTGGGGTGTGCTGTACTCACTGAGCTACATCCCAGGCTCTCTTTATTCTGCCTCTTCTTTGCATACAGATGTTCTATCAAAACTTGTAACATTTTGAAATTCAGCAGTGATTAATGGTTTTCTCTGCATTTTCATCCAATTTACTGGCAAAATCAGTCCCTGGGAGATACTAAGTGGCCATTGTATGGTTGAGTCCCATCCTTAAGATTTTCCTGAGGGCCTTAGAAGAATGCCCTAGTCTTTCAAACCAAAAGAGAAAAGGCAATTTCTTGCCATGAAGATGAAAAGCCCCCAACAGTTCTGCATTTAAAAAGCATACAACAAAAAGATGCAGATGCCATGAGAAAGACACTAAATTCTCACTGCTTAATGTCTGCTATGGCTCTCTATATTCAAAGTTTTACTTTTTAGTTACTGGTTTTTACTTACTATCATTATGATAACATTGAAAATTCCAACTCTTTCCCTCTTAGGCAATAATTTTGAACTTCCCGATAAGTGGCAGCCTATGAAAAAATCTTAATTGTGATGGACAGAACTGAGGGAGTAGAGAAAGTTCCACTAAATGTCCTACAAAATTTACATAATGGTGAAGTGGAAAATTGCCAACTGTCCCCTAAGAGTTTGAAGCTACTTGGTATTCCGGTAAAATAAACTTGGGTCACAATATGTGACACCACTTAGCAACAATCAAATGAAATAAAACTTCCCACGTTTGTGCTAGTCAGGCTGAGACTGAGCTCCTGTGTGAAATGGCAACAGGGCTGAGGGTGTGGTGGGTCATTATCCTGGAAAGATCTGGTGCTGCTGAGGGCCTGGGAGAGCATTATGAATATAATGGCCATGAAGGTTGCTTTTGAACCCTTTGTTTACAGGCTTGGAAAGATCTCTGATTGATTCAAATAAGGTGGCCAGCAGGTGACACTTGGAGTGAGGAAGAAGGAAGGAATGGTCACTACACTATCAGCAACGTTCAAGCAGGCAATGCCATGGCCTACAGTCTGTCCTGAACAGGTCTTCCCAGTCTGTTTCTAACCGTCTAGAGCAGTGGTTCTCAACCTTCCTGATGCTGTAACCCTTTAATGCAATTCTTCATGCTGTGGTAGTCCCCAACCATAAAATTATTTACATTGCTACTTCATGACTGTAATTTTGCTACTGTTATGAATCATAATGTAAATATTTTTGGAGATAGAAGTTTGCCAAAGGAGTCGCGACCCACAAGTTGAGAACTACTGGTCTAGAAAATCTGCCCTTCTAAATATATTTGAGCATTGCTTTGCTGCTGAGACTAATAGAAAGCATGGACCAGGGACAGAGGGATGGCTCAGCCATTAAAGGGTAGTGTGAGTTGTTACTGTGCCCAGGAGTGGATGCCTTAATGTCTCTGTGTCCTGCTGCTGAGCTGGGACCACTGTTCCATCACAGGGAACATTGACAATGAGCAGCAAAGCCTGACGCCACCACAGTAACCTCATCACCTTGTCCTTATAAGTCAGAAAGCTCGTGCAATAGATAAGCCTCAAGTACTTGTGGTCACTTGTGAACTTCGGGTCCCTCTCATAACCCAGGGGACTCCACAGCAATGGAGGGGTTCAGTCAGCCTCTGGGCACATTTTCAATCAGGAATAGATAATTCCATAGTCAATTAATCTGCTTGGACCCAAAATATGGTTTTTGGTAACTACAATTGTTAGTGGAGGGAACTGTTAGTAAGCCAAGAACATGAAAAAGTTGGGACCTAACTACTTTCAGGAAGATTCTGAAGGCAGGAAGGGTACAAGGTGAAGAAGAACAGAGAATTTACTAGAATTAGAGCTGAGCAGCATGGTATTTTGGTTAGTGTTCTGCCAATAATTTTCTAATTCTTTATAAATGCATTTTTTGAAATAATTACCAACCCCCAAACGCCCACAAAAAATCTGAAGAAATATGTGGAAGGTCAACATTTAAGATGTCTCTGCCAATGGAGAAGACCTGGTTCTTGCTGAGTGTTTATATTAGAGCCCAAGGTGCCTCTTTCCGAGGAGAACTCTGCCACTCAGTGCAGCTTGGTCACAAACACGACCTTCTGTCCCTCACCACTGGAGGAGGTGGACAGTGTGGGCTATTATGGAACTGAGGAAACACATTAACGTTAGGAAAAATGTATTTATCACACTTAGGAAATACCATTTAAAATAGTAACAGTTTAAAAGGAGTATCATTGTGCAGGGCAGTTAGAAAGCCGGAGAACAGGATATGAAAACTAGTTAACACAAACTCATTAGAAATTGCAGAATTGCCCAACTTCCTTCTGCAGGGAGAATGCAGAGTCAGAATCTCGCTTCCCACTGAGAGCCACAGAATCCCAGAAAGCACACAAAGAAAACTGGGTTTAACATATTTACATTCTATGCCAATGCGCCTTCAAAACCCTAAGCTAAGAAAAACTCTTCTCAGAATTTTTTATTTGGTCCATTGAACTAACAAATCTGTCTCAAATCTTCCAGCCCGCGCCCCCCAAGTTAGGGACTGGAGCAGCAAACCCGAAGCCCAGCAAGGCATAAATACGCTAATAAAGTGCTTATGTACAATCCTAGACAGGATTTCATTGGGAACAGCAAAAATGTCTAGTGCAAAAACTGCTTTTGCCAGCAAAGCTCTCTCTCTGGAAACAAAGGCTTACAGTAAAAGTTAAAACGGGAGGGGGAAGCAATGCCTGCCCTTAGTCAGGTTGTGTGTGTGCATGCGCCAACGGCCCAAACTATGTTCAGTAGACAGACAGACAGCCTGAGTTCACTGACCGCAGATAAACTGTCTTGCTATGTCCCATGAACAGCTCTTCAGATGTGCCAGCAGCTGTGACGGGGGACAGACTAATTCAAAGTCCACTTGTAACCTGGAAGAGTATACACAGTTACCTTCTCTTGGTGTCTTGAGAATCTTAGTTCTTCTCTTGAACCTGATCTTGCTTTGTGCTTTTGGATCTGAACAGAGGCCAGGTATTGTCTTATAGTAATCAATTCCCTTGGGTTATATGGCCACGGCCTTTTGACTCTTTGCTTTATCCTTAAAAAAAAATCTTTTTTTTGAAATTCATAATAAAATAGTTTTGTCCCTTTTTAGTATAATAACAGATGAGGGATTATTCTGTATTTCTTTCTTTTCCTTTAAGGATCCAAGTTGAAAGCTCTTAGGAGGACATCCAAGTCACCAAGGTTGGCTGCCTGGAAGAGTTCTGGCTGGTTCATCAGCGACAGTGCAATTCTGAGGGCAGCCCAGATGTTCCCCGAGATGGCAGGGTGAGGGACTTGCTGCTGGTTCCGGCTCTTTCTTTGCAAACTGAGGGCAGTGAGAAAATTGCTGACCGCTTCTCTGGAAAGGGAGAAAGGCACATCTTAAGATGTGGTGAACTCCAGAGTCAGCACACTAAAAGAACAGTCAGTTGCTTCTGTGTGATGCCCAGGTCTCCTCTCCAGGGCGAATGGGCTCCCCAGGGATGCCTTTCAGGTTCTCTAGCTATTCTCCTGGGAACAGCTATTGTTAAGTAGAGTGGGCCAGATATCGAACAGGAAAGCCAGTTTTACTTTTGGAGCATAGAGGAGGGAGCCTAATACAGCCACTGCTAAGTCCCTGCTCCAGGAATGACCTGGAGACATTATCTGTGTGCCCAAGTGATCTATTCCACCCGTCTTTAAGGGGAGAAAATGGCTCGCCTCAAAAGCAAGGTGGTCTAGATTTGCTGGTGGTGACAGAAATGAGGAATTACGTTTCATTATTAGACAGCCTGGCCTTCAGTCCTAGCTGTTTAGCCTTAGGCAAATTTCTTTGCAGAGGTTCAGTCCCTAAGTGAGCAATAGGGATAGTAGAAGTCACTTTCAGATTTTGTCGTGAAGTGCCCTTCAGTCAATTATGCAAAAGCTCTTGCAGTTAAGATCAATAGGTTTCCCCCCTGTGTCATCTGGGGAGCCTGGGGCTTGTGAGGGCAAATGGTTTTCATTATGAAACTGAGATGGCATGGGACCCTTTTCACTGTCACCTCCTCATCTGCTCACCTCACCTGCTCATGCCTGGGGATGGCACGTGAGGTAGCCCAACAGACAGAATACAGAGGCACAAAGAAACTGGTTCTAGGAAGCAAGATATTAAAGGAATTGTCCAGTGCATGCCACTCTTCTTTCTTGGTACAGCTTGGTTTTGGAAAGTGATCATTTTCTTGTAAAGCATGTCATTTCTGTTGGTATGCAATGTTTTATTACTTTTCAGTGAATCTCTAGTTTCTGATACCACAAGTATTGATGGATAAAACTCACATGAGCTAAAGGCTTTGGCTTTTTCAGTATTTGCAGGGGTTGGGTGGGAATAGCTGAGCTCCAGGATGATCAATGACTTTGCAGTTTTTTTGGGACCATAACTGTGCCAAGGGCATTTTAAATAATAATGCATCATTTAATTTCTCTCCCCCAACTTTATTGTATTTTAAACAATAAATCCACCATATTTTCTTTTTTCTTCACTAATTAATTCTATCTGTACATCAGGTTTATAAGAACTGTATTCTTGGCTTGGCTTTGCCAAATGCTGGCTCTGGACCTCCCAAGGCTGTTTTATCAGGTACCCCTGGCTTTGTCCCTCTCCAAGGTTCTTTTTTTCTTAAATGGGAAAATTAAAGGTTGGGCTGTTAATGGTTCATATAGACTCACATGGGTGTTGGGCCCCCAAGTGACTGGTCTGAACCCAGGCATACTTTACCTGTAGGCACCCAGGTTGATGCAGCTAATCCCCAGGTTGTATCTGGACCGGATGAAGCCTGGCTGGATCTCCAGTGCTCTCGTGTAGGCCTCCACAGCTTCCTCACTGCGGTCACCATTTGCCAGCGTGGCCCCAAGCCGGTTCCACAATGAGTAATCCTTATGACAAAGACCAGAGCCATTTAATACACAGGAGCACCATGGGAGTGCTCCCCCCTCTTCCCTTTACAGGTGAAGCAAGATGGCTGAAGGCTTATTCAGCACTCAAAACAGGGTCTGTAATGAGGTGAATTATTAAAAATTCTCCCTGGTTAACTTGGTGAAAAGGACTTTCTTTCCTCAAAGAGCAGTGGTCATCTAATATCTTGTAATTAACATTTCCATTTTAGGCATTTTGGTATGGACAGCTGCGGTGGTGTATTATCTGTACTTGAAATCACCAGTGGCAGAGATAAGATGCAGAAGGAATGTACAGAAAATTGCCATGAAAACTTGTTTGTTACAACACCAAGTTAACCCAGTTCTGCTGTGCTGGGACGCCTTACCTCTGGCCGAACAGTTAAGGCAGCATTAAATGCATCGATTGCTCTGTTGAACTCCCCGCTCAGATGGAATAGAACTCCAAGGCCCGTCTGCAGGTCTGGGTCTATCATATCGCCATTTTGGTGGGCAGCTTCCAGGTATAATTCCTTCACTCCTTCCAGGACAGAGCTATGAAGGAAGAATCTGATTCAGTGCCCAGGAAGTTGGATCACCTGGAGTCAGAACTACCGGTGGTGGCTTAGTGTTTGATATGGTTCTTGGGAACTGAACTCGGGTCCTTTGGAGGAGAAGCACAGTCTTTTTACTGCTAAGCCATCCCTCTTGCCCCAGATTGAAAAGTTTTCCTTAAAACAGTTTAGGGGCTGGGGCAATAGCTCAGTGCCTAAGAGCGCTTGTTGCTCTTGTGGAAGACTTGGGTTTGATTCCCAGCACCTACATGGTGGCTAACAATGGTCAGTGACTCCAGTTCCAGGGGATCAACATCCTCTTCTGGCATGTGTAGTCACCAGGCATGCACAGGGTGCACAGATCTACATTCAGGCAAAATGCCCATGTGCATAAAAATGAAAAAAATAATGAATATATATCTTAGCTTAATGAGAGGACTGCTACGTTGGCTTATAAAAACAACACAGCCAGTTGTCACAAATACGCAACAAAACACATGTACAAGCCATGTTAAGTAAGGCCCTCATGGAAGAGCATCGTTGACCCAGTGTTCCATCCTTCAAGCCAAGGGTTCAATGAGATTCACTTCAGATTTCCTCCAATGAGGGATCTAAGTTTATGCAACCCTAGTTCTCAGTGTACTGGCATTAATTCCAAAGCACTTGGATTTGAAATATGTTACTTGGCTAAATGTCTATGAATGGCCATAATGCAGGTCATTAAGTCTAAAGATAGCTTTTGGAGTATAGATATGTGTCCCCCCAAAATCCCAGCCTGTGGTGCTATAGGGAGGTGGTAGGACCTTTGTAAAGCCCTACCTGATGGAAGGAAGCCAGGTCATGGGAACAGGGCTTGGAGGAGATGTGGGGAACCTTGCCACCCCCCTTTCTTCCCAGCCACCATGAGGCGAGCTACTTCCTCGACCATGTCCCTTTGCTTTGATGTATCATCACAGCCCTTAAAACAATAGGCTAAGTGACCATTGTCTAACCCTTTAAAAACGGGGGCTTAAGGAAACCTTCCCTCTTTGTGAGTTGCCTGTCTCAGGCATTTTGTCACAGTAGAAGGATTCTACATGGAAGGAGGACAACCTGTCAACTGGGGACTTCGACATCCGCCGAGTGAGACCCGGAGAGCCCTTCTTGTTCTTTACAAGGTATTTGTACTTTGGGTTCTGCTTAATCCAGTTCTTCAGAGCCTCACAGGCATCCTGCTGATGGCCGGTGTTGGTGTAACTCACAGCCAAGGCCATCAGAGCTTTCAAGTTGTTGGGCTGCAGCTCCAGGCACCTTGAGAGAAGACAAAACAGATCAACAGTTGTGGATATATCTTTTAGGCAGCCTTGAAGCCTTTATTAATTAAAAACACAAAAGTTAAATTATATCAAGTCACTGGAAAGTATTTTATTTCTCCAAATGAGAACCCAGATCAAACAGTGTTTTTTAGAGGCTAAAGCAGCCTCATGACAGTTGGATTTGTAACTATTTTTTTTAAAACACTTATTTTATTTTATGTGCATGAGTGTTTTGCCTGCATGTATATCTATGTACCATGTTTGAGCCTGGTGCCCATGGAGGTCAGAAGAGGGCACTGGATCCCCTGGAAATGGAGTTGCAGGTGGTTGTGAACTACCATGTGGGTGCTAGGAACTGAAGTAGAGTCCTCTGTAGGAGCAGATAGTGCTGTTAAACACAGCCAATTTTTCCAGACCTGGTTTTGATAACTTCAGTATACTTTTCTAAAGTGTGGCTGCTATATGATCTAGAGAGAATATTATTTAAATGTGGCTGTGATATCTTAACTCCCCTAAATTGGACTTGGACAAAATTTTGATGTGCAGAGATGGAGGACTGTACAATGTTTTACAGAAGAGAGGGGATGAATCTGTTTCTAGACTACTAATGCAGGCTTATCCATGTCTCAGGCTGTTGCTGCCCCTGAATTCCCTCTACTGGCCTCTAGCAGGACTTTCTCAACTTGGAAGTGCAAGAGAGGGCCTTGGCACTACACACATTCTAGCACCAGGGGCTGCAGTGGGACCCCATGTGGGAAGGTCTGACGAGCCCACAGGTGATGGAGACACTGGTAGGATCCACTTAGGCCTTGGAGTAGCAAGTTCCCAGTACCTCAGAAACTCAGCAGCAAACCCTGAGTGTGCATCAGAATCCACTGGGAGATTCTAATGCTAATGATGCTCCGTTCCTCAGTCCTAAGTAAATCACGATTTCTGAAAGTGTCTAAGATTCCGAGTCTAAGGCATCTTAAGAAATAATCCCATTGTGCATTTGCATGCAGAGTTAGGAACGATGAACTCAGAATGTGCAAGATTTTTGCAACATGGAATGGGAGGTTAAATCCTGCCTCCATTGCACATGATTTATGAGACCTTGGCCCTCCCTAATTCCCAGTGTCTCTCAGTTGCAGGAAATGGCTCTCAAGGAAAAAACAACGCCCCAATCTACTCTCACTATGAGATACCAACCAAATCTTGAGATGTAGGATTCTGGGAGCATAAAGCCTCAAACTCCAAGTACCTAGGATCTTACATTCTAAGTTTGGAAGTTCTAGAATTTATATACACACAAGTTGTACACATCTATTACTCACGTATTTGTATATAATATGTTGAGCATATGTGTGGATATATATTTGCTTCCTTCCTATAGCATCACATTAACAGTGTGTACAAGAAAGGCAGGAAGAGTGCAAGCATGTTTGGTGGAAACTGTTTTACTCAAGGGTTTAAATGAGGGCTCTTGTTAAGTAAGTGGGAGCATCTACACTCCTGCTCTGTACCTCCATCCACCCTGAGCGATCTCCACCTGCAGTCAGTGATTTGAACACATTTTTTCATGAAGAAAACTTTTGAAAGTTGCAAAAGGCTAGAGCCTTGAAAGGTCTGTCGATCCAGTGAGTCTGACTGCTTTTGCCACAGACTTCCTTTGGTTCTAGAGAACATGAGTTGATTTGTAGATCAAGAAGCATTATGGTTTGGGGAAAGTATCCCATTAGATCCATGTGTGAGTGGAACGTGGCATCCTGGCACATGCCTTGGACAAATTCTTCACAGGCCACTTGGAAGGAGAGCCCAGAGACAAAGTTCAAGTTCCACCTCTCTCCCCTAGACCCGCAGGTTTGCACTTAGCTTTATCTACCTCTGGAGGGCGACAATGGCTGCTTGTTCGTTTTCATTCTCGGCCTGGGTTATCCCAAGAAACTGCCATGCCTAATGAAACAAAACAACCAAACAAAAAAACAACCAATCAAACAGAAACCCAAATCAAACCATCAAGACAAACAAACAAACACAAAACAGACTGTTAACATTGCAAAATGAAGGGGACTGCTTGTCATTTTAGTTAGCTTAGCTGTGATGCCCTGTAGGGGGCAGGCTTAGTTACAAGGATCTGAACTGCCATTCCTTGCTTATTTACTCATCTCTGCAGATGCACCACAAAAGTGTCTTCTTAACTACCTGCCCATTTCCCCAACTCTTCAACATTTTATGCCAGGACGCTGAAGTTTTGAGGACACAGTATATGTTCTATAAATGTTGGGTGAGTAAATCAGGGGTAATATAGTGCGACTTGAGACCCAGACAAAAGCCATATTCCCCCCCAGAAGCCATGGGCACACCTCATGTTCCTCTTTTATTTTTATTTATTTATTTTCTAATGGATGCATGGTCTCATTATGAAGCCCTGGCTGGCCTAGACCTCTTGATGTATGCCAGGCTGGCCTTGAACTCACAGAGCTCTGCCTGCCTCTGCTCCGCCCCACAGTGTTGAGAGGTGTGCACCACCATGCCTAGCTCAGGTGGGCTATTTTTGTTTGTGTTTCCTATCCTCAGTTTTTATCTTTGGAGGCTCTGGATCTCAAAGATTAGAAACTCAGTTAGAAAGCAGGTAATGCATAGCTTTCTAACAAGATCAGCCTAAGCCAGGGGAACTTCTTTGTAAACCTTGGTAAAGATGAATCCTGCAGCATCCTGTCTCATTCTGACCCCTTAGCACACTTAGACACTTTTCCAGTCTGACAGAGGGAAGGGGAATCCCACCTCAGCATCTCCAGGGTCCTGGAGAATTGCTGCTTCCATGAACAGGATGGTGACAGGCAGATCCCCTTCCTTCAGCCTTTTTAAGCCTTCTTCAAATGCTCCAGGCCAGTCCTTGAAGGGATTTTCAGTGTGAAAGTAATATCCCTGTGACACAGAAGAGGTCACAACATAACATTGTCTTCCTTCATTCTAACATCTGGTAAAGCTCTGAACAACTTATTGCCTCATTGGGGGATACAGGTGCCCCTACTGAAAATTCATCTTTTAAGAACATAGCTATTTTTCACTTGCAAATGTTTAACACAAAACGAGATGAGTCCAGTATTTTCTATGAATAGTCAACTTAGAGAGAAGGCTCACACACAGGTGTGAAACTTACACCCTACATAGTTTTGGATTGTGGCTATCCTATGTTACTAAAATGATTTATGTGGATATGCTAAATTTATTTACTCAGCCCGTATTGATGGACATTTTGGTTATTTTAAAACAATTAGAGTGATATGATGGCTTATGCCTGGAATTCTGAACAACGGAGGTTGAGGCAGGAGGATCACCCTGAGTTTGAGGTTAGTCTGGGCTACAGCTACATAGTAATAAACAAAAAAAAACTCACTGTCTCAAACTTATTTATTTTTTAAAATAAAACTACAGTGCAAACTTCATGCTTCAGGATTGCTTTGCACTTTTTTTTTTTTTTAAATCTTATGCTATACTTCAAGAAGAGACACTTTAGACCAAGGCCATGGTCTGGTTTTTAGAACGTATGTATGTAGTTGGTCTGCTCCGGGGTTAAACTGTCTCCTGTAATATTATAGAATATAATATTCTGAACAAACCATCAGAAAATCCTTTGACTGATACAAGCACACCTGGAGATGATGTTACTATGGTCTAAAGACGGGTCAGTGGGGGCCTTCATTTTCCACAGGTGTCAACAGCCAGGGCATCTGCTGGAGCACAGGGTGATAGTCCCAGTCAGGCCCCAGGTGTGTGGATTATAGCCTGGGGTCTGGGGACCCTTAGTGTCTTCCTTTCCTAGGGTCTGGGAACCCTCAGTTTCCTCCCTTCCTGGGGTGTGGGGACCCACAGTGTCCTCCCTTCCTGGGGTGTGGGGACCCTCAGCGTCCTCCCTTCCTGGGGTCTGGGGACCCTCAGCATCCTCCCTTCCTGGGGTCTGGGGACCCATAATGTCCTCCCTTTTTTACCTAGACTGGATATTTACTTGTGGGAAAGGTAGTTACTTTAAAAAATTTGTTTTGAGATTTCCCGACCTTTTGAGGGACGGAACCACTGGGAAGAGAGACATTTGAGGGACAATGTAAATCCCCTGAAATCAGACCGGCCATCATGTCCCCTCTACCCAGTGCACAGTACGTGGGGCATAAGTATTTGCTGTATTGAGTAAACTGTTATGAACATTATCCAGGACTGAATTACTGAGACTTATTCCATACCCCTACACCATGAGGTAAACTTTTATCGATAAATGTGTGTGTATATGTACATGTACACATGTATGTACACATGTGTGTCTGTGTGTTCATTTGTATGTGTGTGTGTGTGATGTTTTTCTGTTTAAGAAACATCCATTTCTCTGTCTTTCAGGATACTTGTAGTAATTCTAGTGTCTTCTTCTCAATAAGTGTTTTTAAAGGTGGAGATCTTAAAGCAGCTGGGACTCAGTGGGCAACCTGACTAGTGGTTCACTGCACTTTCCTATTTCCCAGGGCTCTCAGCAATGACGTATCATTGCATAACCTTTTGGGGTTGACCTGGTTGTGTGAAGAGCATTCTTTGCACTGACAGTCTTTGCTGATAGTGATAGCACCACGAGATGCAGCCTGAAGTGTCCGAATCACCTCCTGGCTTCTACATGACCAGGACAGGTGACTGGTGGTGAGGCATTGTGGGTTTTGGGGTTCTGAGTAGATAACAAACTGTAGGAACAGTAATAAACACGGGCACTGCATTTCCAGGCCAGCTACCCTCATGCGCTAGTTACCTGTTTTTCATCGATTGCAGTTTCTTCTAGGTCAGACTGACATCAAACTGCCTTTAATTCTTAGGTTGTTACTGACTGGTTCATAACGTGCAATCTGATAAGTGTGCAGACACTCACCAGCATGTGAGGGCAGACTGAGTTACCTTCTCACTGGCAGAGACCATGGTGACTTGGTTCTGGGCTTCTTGGTTCTCAGATATCCAGTTCCTCCGGGCCATTTCTTCCCACTCCGCCTGCATCTTGTCCCAGAACTCCGTATCTGACTAAGAGAAAGAAGAGAGATGGATTGAAAATCACACTGGTTTGTTCCTAGAGATACATTTGCCTCAGAGATCACATGGGGGGGGGGGAGGAAGAGGAAGAGCAGGAGTATTTAGGTAGGTGACGCCCAGCAGCAGTCAATCTTCTGCAGGGCACCCAGCTGCCAAAGAGGATCAGCCCTGACCTTTTTTTTTTTTTTTTTTTTTTTTTTTTTTTTTTTTTTTTTTTTGTGAAACATGTCTCATGTACTGGCCTCACACTTGCTATGTAATCGAAGATGACTTTGAAGTTTTGATCCTTCTGCCTCCAACTCCCGAGTGCTGAGATCACTGGGTTTATGCAGTGCTGGGGATCAAACCCAGGGCTTTGTACATTCTAGACAAGCTCTCTACCAACTGAACCACATCCCCAGCCCCGGCTATGGTTTTCTTCAGCAGAGAAATAACCACTAACATAATTTATACCAGTGAATCAGCTAAACTTACACTACATACATACATACACACATACACACACACACACATACATACATACATACATACCTGAGCTTATGATGGAGTTATCAACAAATGAATTCACAGCAAGTTGAAGATACTATAAGCAGACATTAATGAAGATAACCTACTGAACAGTGTGCCTTAATGGCAGTCCACTGCAGAGTACTGGGTGATAACTCTTGCGGTTGTGTGCTTGACTTGGGAGTGCTGCTCAGTGTGGTGAGGGAATCCTACTGCATATGGACAGTCCAGATAAAGGCCCAAACTCAAAGTTCCAGTTCTACTGAGTGGATGCCACTTATCTACCACCGTGAAGTTACAATATATTAAATTGAGCTATTCTTAGTTGGGTGCCTCTGCACTTCAAGACAGTTTTAAATGTGGTAGCATAATGCAGGAAAAGGAAATCCACAGATGACCGAACAAATACCCACTAGAGTAGCAGACATATTTTAAGAAGGGAGACCCAGACCTGAGCTGCTCCTAGAATATAAAGAATTGGAGCCGCACCCTTGGACTGGCTGGGCAGGGACTTGAGTGGTCCTGGGCACAAACAGGAGAATTGACTTCATCCTATGCTAAGTACCATGCCAGGAGGAAAGTGAGCCCGAGGTATTGTCCCAGTGAGGGAGCCACAGGGTTTCAATCCCGCTTGGCTTCCAAGCCTAGAACCATCTGCTTGTGTCAAGCTTTGCTTCCTTGTGCTAAAGCAGCGGGGGTGGGGGTGAAGGGTGAGGGTGGTCATGCTTGGCTACGCGTCTTCGTCGTTTCTGGGGCAGGGTGACTGTATGTCAATACGTATCGTTTCCTTTTTAACTTCCCCATTCATGTCCTGTCAGGGAATCCTGGTCGTTTACCCTCTTACTTCATGAAAGGCAGTGTGAGCTCCTCAGGCAGAACTCTCTGCCAGAGCCGCCCCGGGCTGGCTTCAATGTTACTAAGCCTGAAGAGAGTACTTTAGGTGGCCAGAGCAAGGAGAAAGGAGTGAATCTCTCAAAGGACTTAAAAGCCATTAAGCGAGGGTGGTACTTCTCAGGGGTAGAGAAAGATGGAGGGATTGTGGGTTTGGGCTTGTCAGATGCTGGGGTACACCTTCTGGCAATTTCCTGGCACACTGATTTCACCTCAGAATCACGAGTAAGGGAGGAGGGGTGCACTGGCTGGAACCCTGATTTCCACTGGCAGGGAAATAAAGCTGAACTTCTGGGGATTACTTGGGGACTCGTAGCTGTCAGCTGTGGGAAGATCCTTGTCCCCGGCACTGTTAGCCATCCAGACTTCGTGTCCCAGCTATGTCACTTTCCAGGTGCTTGGGAATCATTTTTCTTTTTAGACAAGACAGAAGAGGCAGTTGGAGGTGTTCCCTGGGCCCCTCGGTCTGGAGCTGAGACTCAGGCTCTTCACCTGTACATCTCAAACAGCTCCAGAACCTTGAGTCTGGTGACCTGCTGAACACTGTCACCCTGTTTGAGGGCAACCTCCTTTTCACCCTGCTGGCCAGCCTGGACAGTACCAATTTGGCACAAGAACTCTTCCTCAAAGTTGCCTGAATGGACATCGCAGCCCTGTTTATTTTGGACCCAAACATTTAGAGAATAAGGGTCAGCAAATGTGATTATTTCAAGCTACTGAACAAGCAGGAGGTCTTCATGTCTTCTCTGTCAATTCGGGAACATTCATTCCCACCACAGAAATGGGTTCTGCCTGGCAGAGGCCTTCCTTCACGGAAGCAGCAGCTGGGCTGACAGTTCGTCTGAGATATTGGAAGCAGAGGGGATGACCATCAGGTATACAGGCTAAGGTGGGGGATGAAAAGAAAATTTTCTTTTTAATGTGTCTTCTAGTAGACACCCACAAGAATCTCAGACAACAGCAGCCTTGGTAACATGAGGAAGCACACTAGCATGTCACCAAGGGACGGAGAGGCCAATGGAGTGGAAGGGTTCTGGCTTCGAACTTTGTATTTCCTGAATTTTCTGTGGTAAGTTTTGCTTTTATAACTATTCAGTACAGTAAAACAACAAACCCCCCAAATACATTGCTTTCCCTTCTTTTAAGTCCCTTTATGCCTTATTGCTATCAAATACTGAGAAGTCTGGAGAAAATATGAGAGGGATATTTTCTTGAACAGTTTTTTTTTGTGGGGGGCGGGGTTTCGAGACAGGGTTTCTCTGTGTAACTTTGCGCCTTTTCCTGGAACTCACTCTGTAGCCCAGGCTGGCCTCGAACTCACAGAGATCCACCTGCCTCTGCCTCCTAAGTGCTGGGATTAAAGGTGTGCGCCACCACCGCCCGGCTCTTGAACATCTTCTTAAGGATGCAGGTTTGATCAGCCTGCAGTGGAAAGGAAGGGCCCACCAAGGGAACTTGACGGTGCTTTGCTGGCTCTCATCCCCCACTCCAGCGTCTCAGAGACCAGTGTCTTCACATCCTGAGGAAGCCAGACACACATCCCTCTGGAGAGTCTTTCTGATGGGAAGCACTGTATAATCTGAATGGAAGACAGAGCTTTCCTATCACGTATGCCTGGGTCACCTCTCCTGCATTCCACACCAGAGGAGTATGTGTGTTAATTCTACCTCTGTAGGAAAAGAACTTCAGGTGAGGTGGGGCTGCTGGGCTCCCATTTAATGAGATTCAGCAGGATTTACCATTTCCACTTAAACTAAGTCACAGCAGACTAATTAAGCTGCACAGCACAGTTTTCACTTAATTACAGAATACTTTTAGCGCCATCAATTTCCACTCAGTCTCAGAACCCAGACTTTACTGCAGCAGCTGCAATTAGTGCCAGCTCCCTACCTCATTTTTAATGAAGTTGAGAAAACCTCCAACATATTTGAATTGTAACCATTTTAGACATGACCAAGGGATTTTATTTACTGATGATTTCCTTAGCTGTTCTGGGGTTTTAGTAGACTATTTCTCAGAATTGGCGTGTAACATGTTAATTGCTTATACCAAGTAGTGGTTTGAAGGAGAATGGCTCCCATTGGCTCATATTAATGGTTCCCAGTTGGTGAAGAATTAGGAGGTATGGTTTTGTTGGAGGAGATGTGTCACTGGGGGTGGGGTGGGCTTTGAGGTTTCAAAAAGCCCATCTCATTCCCAGTTAGCTCTCTCTGCCTCATGTTTGTGGATCAAGATGTGAGCTCTCAGCTACTGCTCCAGCACCATGCCTGCCTGCTGCCATGCTCCCTGCCATGATGGTCATGAACTCTAACCCTCTGAAACTGTAAACTGCAAATAAACTCTTCTATGAGTTGTCTTGGTCATAGTGTCTTATCACAATAATTGAAAAGCTATTAAGACACACTAGAAGTGAATTATTGTTTGGAATTTGTTTCCATTTTAATGACAGCTTCTAATGATACCAACAGAACACATTCAAAAGCTAACTTGGGATATGCATATATAGTGATTAGGAAAACAGCATTCCCATCACAGACCTGGGGTCAACTCCTTACTCCATGTGTGACTGACTGCAAAGTGCTTCAGCTCTTCAGATGTCATCTTCCTTACTCTCGATATGAAGATATAAGAGAAATTTGGGTGAATTGTTCTGATTACTAAATGAGAATGATGTCAGTGAATGTTTGTGGATGTCAGCCACAAATGGGAAATCTACATCACAGACCTGCCCCCAAGGGTAGGCACTATCTCAGAAGAGGAGGAGGAAGAAAGATTTTAAGAGACGGAAGTTGGAGCAGATTGGAGTGAAACAATGTCTTCCGGACATGACAGGGCTGCTTCACTCATGAACTCATGGCAACTGTGGTTAGCTCACAGGATCAAGCCACTCAGCATTCCAGCATGACGGAGGCAGAGGCTCACCAGCCTCGCTCCTAACTGAGGAACGGTGATGGGGGTTCGAGAGTCAGTATTCTTTAAGGTTGTGGCCCCTAGTAGACCATGCTCCGATGTATCAGTATATGAGCAGCATGAACTAGAACTAGTGGGCAGGGAAAAACAAGAGTACACAAAGTTGGGAGGTGCTGATGGGCTACAGGGAGGAAGGGGAGGTGGATAGGATCCAAGAACATTGTATGCATACATGAAATTCTCAAAATAACCTAAATATTATATTAAAAAGTAAGTATTCTCATTGTGTTTTTATATCATTGAGAAAAACAGAGTGCAATAAATTTCTTTTTAGAGCCTCAGAGTTCAAATATCTATGCTATACTTTGCTTGGTGTTTTAATTTCCTGTAAATGCCTCTTCCTCTTCTAGATACTTCTTTCCATTTAAATCTTTGTTTTCCACCTAATTATTCAAAAACTAAGAGCAAGGTTAAGAAAATTACGGCAGAATGGGCTGTTAAGTAGCAATTAAAACCATGTTTATGAACAGCATCATAAACACCGAATGCTGTTGTCTAACATTCCCAGGGCTGCGGGGTGCAGGCTGCGGGGTGCAGGCTGCAGCGAAGACGCCTGCAGATCAGCATGCCAGCAGCAGTGGTTTCATGGGATGAGATCAGGAGGAATTTATCCCATAACCTTT